GATCTCTCTCTCTTCTCTCTCTCTCTCTCTCTCTCTCTACTTCTCTCTGTAACTCTGTCTCTCAAGTAAACAAAATAAATCTTTTTAAAAAAAAAACAACCTTTGTATTTGTTCAAAAACATCAGAATTCAGTTAAGATCTCAGAAGATTTGGGAATAGAAAATAAAAGAGACTATTTTGCTTTGAAAAGGATTTGTAAGAGTTGTCAGAAATCTCCTCAAGCATATCCTTACTATAGGTACAGAGAGATACCTGGTTGCACAGATGGGATTTCAATGGTCCCTCTAAGTGCCATAAACCTGCAGCTTATGAATGGTTAAGGTGTAGCCCAGAGCTAAAATAAGCTATTTGGAAATTAACTCACTCTGTTCTAATTTTCTTATCCCCACCTCAAAAAAAAAAAAAGATAAAATGTAAAAGTTGAAATAAAATCACAGTAAGGTATTTACCTTACCATACTTTTCATAATCTGAGAATTCATCCTCATAAAAAGCCTTTTATATCAGCACTAGTATATCACCTTAATAAGTTTAAGTTATTTGTCCTTCTCCATGGAGTATGTGTGTGATGTGAGACAGGATATAGGGAAGCAGGTTAAAGTGAGTTACTGTTATTAGTCCTATGTAGCACTGAGCTGCCTGTGTTCCTGATGAGGACTGCTGGCTGATCCATCGCCCTGCCACCCACATCGCAGCTTCCAGTGGAGGAACTTTCCTGCTTATTCTTCATAACCAGGGCATCCTGTACAAGATACCTAGGATCACGTGAACACCCTGAGGCCACAAAACAGTCACACTTGCTGGCCCAAACACACGATAGTCATTTGTTATTTTTCCATTTAGTAGATTAACTACTATACACCAGGTACTATGGTGGGCTCTCGGCATATATAGAATACACACACACACACACACTGGGGGGGTGGTGGTGGTTAGGAACGGGGGGCACATAGCTCTTATTTAGGAGCCCATAGTCTAACGCAACAATAAACCTATGTCCAGGCTTAGCCCTAGAGATGATTTTAAAAATCATTATAGAGATTATTTTAAAAATAATTCCTGTCATGATTCTAATGTACAACCAAGGTTGAGAACTACTGCCCCAGTGGGTGAAAGAGACCAGTTAGTAAGCTCAGCTTTCCAAATTGGTCGGTTGAGCTCATCTTTGAGAAGCAGCCTGGCTTCCTGCTTCAGAATCCTCCCAGACTCCACCATGTGGTGACAAAGCACTCATCTGCCCTCTCAGCCACCAGGGTCTGAGTCAACCAGCTTATACATACTGGGATATAATGAGCACTGGCCAGGAGACTGTCACTCAATCGCAGCTCATTATTACTTCTGGTAGTGCATGCTCCTAACCTGCCTTACCCCAGTTCCTGCTTTGGTCTCTGATTGATGTGTGGGTTCTGCCCATCACCCTATTCTCCTGCTTGCAGCTCTGTTTCTCAGGGAGGAATACCTGCAGCCTGTACCTCCAGCTCTCAGCCTTCCACCTCATCACCTTGCCTTGGTAGGTGTCTGTCATCTCCTGTCTGATTTGGTTTACTTGGCCTCCACCTCCACCCCAGGTCTGATGCAACCAACCACAGATACTGCTTTAAAATATCAAATAGCAAGAAGAGAATATTGTTTTATGCACCAACAAATCTGCACTAAGTATTTTTAGCCCATTTAACTAATGGATTTCTTGGTAAAGCATGGCACACTCAGTCCATTCCTTGGATCCTTATTATCAGAACAGTTAGACTTTGCAGTAGTGGCTGGGCCCTATCTGCTTGAATATTCTTTGACTTTAAAGGGAGACCAATGATCCTACTGACCCTGACGGATAAAGTTAACTTTTAACTAGAATTCAAATTACTCCTGAGGTATCCTGTTAGCTGTTATTTGTGGTTTGCTATTACATGATAAACTTTATCTTCTAACTGAAATTTTAACCATATATCCCCAAAACAAATTGTTCTTCTGAAATAGTGATCCAAGTTTCACAACCCAAATCCTGAAATTGATATACTCCACCTATTCCAATATAAAATAACCATATGGACAAAATTAATTTATTTATGTTTAATATAATTATTAATAAATACAGATAATTCTAGGCTACATATAAGTTTTTTTTTAAAGATTATTTATTTATTTGACAGGTAGAGTTACAGACAGTGAGAGGGAGAGACAGAGAGAAAGGTCTCCCTCCGTTGGTTCACTCCCCAAATGGCCGCCACGGCCGGAGCTACGCTGATCCGAAGCCAGGAGCCAGGTGCCTCCCCCCGGTCTCCCATGCGGGTGTAGGGCCCAAGCACCTGGGCCATCCTCCACTGCACTCCCGGGCCACAGCAGAGAGCTGGACTGGTAGCGGAGCAGCTGGGACTAGAACCCGGTGCCCATATGGGATTCTGGCGCTGCAGGCGGAGGATTAGCCAAGTGAGCCACAGCGCAGGCCCCACATATAAGTTTTTACAGGGATTTACTTTGATAGCTATTTTATAGCTTATTCACTATGGGGAATGTTTTATGACTATCCTAGCTCTCATCATATCAGGTTGTAAGCTCTGGTTCTCCACTAAATTGTAAGCCCAGTGTGCAGTGATGATGTCACATGACTCTACTCCCAGGGCCCACACAGCACCTGCTGTGCAGTAGGAATTCAAGAAATACAAATTGAAAGAATGGATTTTTGCATATAAAACAAACCGAAGTCACTGGAGTTTTGATACTTCTTTTTGACTCTGTGTATCCTAAGGCTTTTTCCTAGGCTCTGAGCCAGGGGTTCCTTAATGGGTTAATAGGAACCATTTAGTGTATCAATATCTGTAGCTATTATTTGCAGTTACATACTGGGAATGGAATGGCCACAAGAGTCACTTTTGATGGCTTATTCCAGATAAACGAAACAAAACTCTCACCCAGGAGGTCACCAGCACATCCTTTTCTGGTGGCAAAATTCTCCTGGTGGTGGCTCCGTTAATGTCATGCCTAGCTATCTGCCACTCTGAAGCTAGTGATGAGAAATTGATTTAAGCTTTTTTTCAAACAGAATTGGAATATATGTCTTAGAGAGTGCTTTTGGTTTGTTCATGTCTAGATTAAGATTGTACAGCAGCCTAAATGTTGCTTTTATGAGAGTAGATGCTGTACTTGGGAGTCTTGCACATGTCCATTTGACATCCTTAGTTTCTACACAGTTATAAACTGAAGAATCCAATTTCTACACAGTATATGTGCTAGTGTCTTTGTGGGTTTTCCTGGTGTAGAAGTTTCCAGCACTTTTCTGCCTTCTCATGGAATTTTGCAAAGATTACTTGTATGAAATATGGCTCTCCCTACAGACACCTGCCACTCCTTTGTATAAGAAGGTCACTTTTGTCAGGCCCGTGTCTACAAAGTAGTTTAAGAGTAGCTGAAAATAGGTTATGAAGAAATAGGATGGAAGGCACAGACATTTTCCCAAAGGGCACACTGTATACATTTTGCAATAACATGCTGTGAAAGCAGAGTTTTCTGTTTGTATTCTTATCTCATAAGGAAAATAAATACACATGTTATATTATGTAGCCGCTCCTTGCTTATTTCACGTTAAAAATAGAGGCAGAAGAAAGTGAAAACATTTGGACTAGAATTAATATAAGCTTAAAATAACTGGCTAGGAAGAGGTGTTTGGTCTAGCAGTTAAGATGTCTGTGTCTAATATGTGGGGGCAGCTACCTGAGTTCAATATATAGTTCTGACTCTTAACTCCAGCTTCCTAGTGATGTACACCCTGGGAGGCAGCAGCAATGGCTTAAGTAATTGGGTTCCTGCCACCTACATGGGAGACCTGGATTGAGTTCCTGGCTCCTGGCTTTGGCCTGGGCCCAGTCCTGGCTATTGTGGGTATTTGGGGAATGAACCAAGAGCTGACAGTTCTCTGTCTTTCAAATAACTTTTTTAAAAATTTAAAAAACAGCTAGGTAACATTTTATCCTCTCTTGCTTCCAGTGCTTTAACTTCAAAAGATGAAATATGTGATAACTTTAAAAATGATACAGATTGAATGATAAAAAATAAGTATTATTACATAATGATCTGAAACCATGGGGGCAATGAACAGTGTAAACTTTGTTCTCATAATAAAGGGGAAGACTATCTTCTCCAGCCCAACCATGGAATGTGGGTAGTGCCTCAACTCCATAGACCATTCAGTTAGAACGGCTGTTAGTTTAACCCACGGGTCAGCAAACTATGGGATGTGGGCTAATCTGGATTGTTGCCTCTTTTTGTGTGGCCCACAAGCTAAGAACAAGAACAGTTTTTATATTTTTAAATAGTTGGAAAAAATCAAAAGATGGTTAATATTTTAGGGCATGTGAAATTAGAATTTTATAATTCTAATTAAAATTTTATAATTTGTATAGTGCATATTATGTGCAAAATGGTTTATTGGAGCATAGTCATGCTTATTAATTTACATATTATCTTCGGCTGCTTTGTACCAGAGCAGAGTTGAGTAGCTGTAACAAGACCCACAGGGCAGTAGAGTCAAAACTATTCGCTATTTAATCCAGTACAGAAAACATTTGTTGACCCTTGATATAACTTAATAGCTATAATTACATAGATCCTACATTAGTTTAAGGATTGTGCCTGCTAACAGGGCTGTTTCAGCTTCCCCAATGATTGGAAAAATACTTTGTGGGAATTAATGGCCAGGGTATAATAGGAAAATGTCCCAAGAATGTTTGCTTGGAACAGTTGGTCCAGGAAGTGTAACTTAACTGAGAACTTCCCTGTTTTTAATTACGAACCAGATAGCCCTACGGCCACCTCAGACTTTGCTCGTCCCTGCCTGGGCTGCCTGTGAAGGAATAAATGATGATCGCATGTTAAGATCCTGCTTTTCAGTTAGCCAGATAGCACGCGTTGATGGTTTTGAAAATTTACAAAGGCACGGAAGTTAGGTTGAATGTTCATTCGGTGTTTTACAGGGATGGGGTTCATCTTAATTAGAAGGTCAAAGCCCACCTGGACGGGTTTCTGCCACAACAGGGCCTGCAAGGTCGGATGGCTTCCCAACTCCAGCCTGGTTAATGGCTCGGACACGGAACACGTAGCTGACACCCTCCGTGAGGCCTTGAACCTGAAAGCAGCAGGCACAGAAGCAATGGACATTTTATGAAGCAGTGGGTGCTTTATGTCATTTAAAACTATGTGCCCTTCCTCTGTAATAAAGATTGAGTCACATGGCACCAAAGGTATAGAACTTGTGTTCCAGGCCTGATTCTGACTAAGTCTAAGTGGGTGACTTAAGCCTTAGTCTACCTTTGCTCTGGACTAGAATCTATAAGTAGATCCCTTTCAACTCTGAGGGACTCTTTTTAAAAGATGGTTTAATGGCCACCAACATCAGAAACAGAGACAAACATGCATATGCCTTAAATGAATTAGCTACCTTTTTTTTGGCTTAAAAAGACAAAATACAAAGTGCTCATAATAACATATATTGGTTTTTTCCCTCCTGATATTTTTGAAACATTCCATGAATAATTTCAAATGAAATTCTTGGCAAGAGAGAATTAAAAGCACAACACACACACACTTTCCATTTGTTTAAAAGCATGTGAAAGCATGAGAACAAAAACCAACAAAAATTGTCCCTATAAATTTAATATAGCTACTTCTCACTAAATAGACAAAAATTTAACATAACATAATTTAAATAATTTGTTAATTATCAAAATGTATTAAAATTCTAATTCCTCCAGTTTTTAATAACCAAGAAGATATCTGTGGAGAATCAGTTATATGTGTGCCATGCTTAAGAGTTACAAAGAGTTGCAAAAAATATTTATAATGCATTTTCATATGACATAATTATGTGACAAAATCACATAATTTTTCTGTGATTTTGAGGGTTCTGTACCATCCCATTACCATTACAAATACTGTTAATACTTCATCAAAAATTAGCTTTCTACCTTTAAAACAGATGACATTTAAAAGGTAGATTATATATGTTTATATATATGGATATATGTTTAAATACACACATACATCTATATATGTTTTATATAGATATATGTTTAAAGATTTATTTTATTTATTTGAAAGGCAGAGTTATGAGAGAGAGGGAGAAACAGACAGATGGAAGTCTTCCATCTGCTGTTTTAGTCCCCAAATGGCTACAACAGCTGGCTGGGCCAGGCTGAAGCCAAGAGCCAGGACTACATCTGGGTCACCTACATGAATAGCAGGGGCACAAGCACTTGGGCCATCTTCCGCTGCTTTTCCCAGATGTATTAACAGGAAGTTGGATCAAAAGTGGAGAAACCAGGACTTGAAGAACCATTATCCATGTGGGATGCTGGTGCAGGAGGTGGCTTAACTTGCTGCATCACAATGCCAGCTCCCAAAGTATATTATATTTAAGAAAGAATCTATTATACCCAGAGGTGATAATTTTTCTCCATAGTTTTGTGATGAAGATCAATGACCAAAATGTGATTTAAACCAAACAATGGTGGAATACATTTATTCAATTAAGTGAAGTGCTTGTAACCATGTGAATTACATGTTTAAGTGAATTACATATTAAGTTGTTAGATTTTAATCTATTTATTATATTGCTATGATTCAGAATGCCACCATTTATGTAGTAGTAGTGTCCACTACAGTTAATTGATCCTTTTTTTTTAAAAAAAATTATTTATTTATTTATTTGAGAGCTAGAGTTACAGACAGAAGGAAAGAGAGAAAGGTCTTCCATCTGTTGGTTCAATATCCCAAATGGCTACAACAGCCAGGGCTGTGACAGACAAAAACCAAGAGTCTGGAGCTTCTTCCTTCCAGGTCTTCCACATGGGTGCAGGTGCCCAAGCACTTGTACTGTCCTCTACTGCATTCCCAGATGCATCAGCAGAGAGCTGGATCGAAATTGGAGCAGCAGGACTCAGCTTAACCCGTTATACCATAACACCGGCCCCAGGGTTTAAATTCTACGTTTAGAAACAATGCCATGGGGCCAGAGCTGTGGTGTAGCAGATAAAGCCATCGCCTGTAGTGCGGGCATCCCATATGGGTGCCGGTTTGAGTCCTGGCTGCTCCACTTCCGATCCAGCTCTGCAATGGCATGGGAAAGCGGTAGAAGATGGCCAAACTCCTTGGGCCCCTGAACCCGTGTGGGAAACCTGGAAGGAGCTCCTGGCTCCTGGCTTCAGATCGGTGTAGCTCCAGCCATTGTAGTCATCTGGGGAGTGAACCAGCAGATGGAGGACTTCTCTCTCTCTCTCTGCCTCTCTGTAACTCTGCCTTTCAAATAAATAAGCAAAAATATTAAACAAACAAAGAATGTCATGTAACTAGTTTCCAGAGTGAACAGAAACATGTCCCTGTTGTGACAACAACAGACCAATTGCCAGGTGCCTGACACATCTGCACCTGACACTTACATAATGTGTGGCTGAGTCAGATTTCTGCAGCAGGTGTTTAGTCACCGGGATGACAAACACCTCCACTGTTCCATCTTCCCAGGGGCATGGACTAAGGGCCTCAACAGCACTATAAACATGTAATCCATATAATCTATACAAATCTATTTTCCTTTTCTCAGACTTTTTTCTCTTCCCTATAACTTCCCTTGCCTTCTCCACCCATGTCCTCTACCCCTTCCAGTATTCCTATCTCACCAGGTTATAATTATCAATCATAAAATCAAATGAGAATCAGTGAATTTAGTCTGAGTCTAAATTCAAGTCCATTTCCAGTTTAAAATTCGTTTCAAAAATCCATTAGCTCCAAGGAAAAGCTATCATTAAATAAATAGTAGAATTCTGTTGTCAAAAACACAATACAAATCAATCCTTTTTATTGAAAGAAATGCATCCTTAACGCTTTCTAGGAACCCCTGACACTAGAAGCTGGAATGAATGTGGGTGCTCTTACAGAAGTAAGCCCACTATGTTCCAGTTGCAACAGTGTTAAATTCTCCCATTCATGGAACTCTCTCTCCTGTTTTCACTTAGGTTTATCAGATTTCACTTTTTAATATGTATATTTATTGTCTATAATAGGCCTGAACTTTGTTTGAACAGAAAAGAACTAGAAAAATGAATACATATCAAACTGGCTATGGAGATTAACAGGCAATCTTTACTTTCTTTATGCCTTTATTGTTTATGTTTTCATCAAGAGCATGTGTTAGTTTTATAGTCGGAAAAATCAAAAATTCTATTTTCACTTTAAAAACTGCTCATAAACAATAAAGCCAGAGGTTCACCCACAGGTTTGTGAGGCACACTCAACCTCAATCTCTCTCTTAAAAATTTGTCTTTATTTTTTGTTTTTCAAATTAATTAAATGACATTTAGGTGAATTAAATGACTTTTACTATTCTATGATATGTTTAAACCCTGTTATTTTTTCCTTCCTGTCCAATTTTTTCTGGGCTACTGGTCACTTTTGCATGGCTTCTCACCCTTGTTTTGCTTCACTTGACTCAAGTCCAATCTCAGACTCTTGGTATCCTGAACTTGGTAGACTGAGGATCAGGAAATCTTCACTGTAGCCATGCATATCCTCCTCCTCCTCCACCACCACCACCACCACCACCGAGGATGTTTTTGACCTTTATTTTACATCATCCTAAAGGTGTTTGTATGTTTGTTTGTTTGTTTGTTTTGACAGGCAGAGTGGACAGTGAAAGAGAGAGAGACAGAGAAAAAGGTCCTCCTTTGCCGTTGGTTCACCCTCCAATGGCCGCCACGGCTGGCGCACTGCGGCCGGCGCACCATGCTGATCCAATGGCAGGAGCCAGGTACTTATCCTGGTCTCCCCATGGGGTGCAGGGCCCAAGTACTTGGGCCATCCTCCACTGCACTCCCTGGCCACAGCAGAGAGCTGGCCTGGAAGAGGGGCAACCGGGATAGAATCCGGCGCCCCGACCGGGACTAGAACCCAGTGTGCTGGCGCCACAAGGTGGAGGATTAGCCTAGTGAGCCACGGCGCCGGCCATGTTTGTTTTTTAATCTAGAGCTATTCTTGACTCATCTGGGCATCCAGATAGCATCCCGGGTTCCAGTTCTTCCTTGATCTTTTTTCTTCCATAAAAAGATGTCTTTCCTTATTTCCTCAGTTTCGTAAGGGGGATGAGAGGGCAGATTGGCACATGCTAGGTTGAGTTAATGGCGTATTGGGTGTAATGGTTTATGGGCCATCATCTCTCCTAGAGGAGATATTTACATTATAGCAACTATAAAGCCTTTACCTCAGAGAATGACTGACAGATGGTACAGACTTCACCTGGGATAGCAGGCCAATGGGAAAGATCTTTTAGACGAGGTATATTGCTTGAATATCACCCTATAGGAGTGACCTATTCTGCCAACAGATGGGGCTGTGTGAATGCAGTGTGCAACTTTCTGAATGACTGTGGTGAAGTTACACTTTGTTCTAAGTACTAACCAATGGAATTATATTTCTCACAGCTTCTGAGGCCCTACTATGGATTCAGTTTCTCCAAGTGCCACTGCTAACAATGGGAGAAAACATTCTTTTGAGATTCCACTTGGTACAAGTGAGAGATTCAGTGGCTAAAGCAGAACAGGGTTTGGTAGACTGAGTTAGCAACTGGCTCAGCCGGCATATTCTAGAGGAATCCAGAAGGCAATAATATGGATAAGCATGAGGCTAAGGTCAAGAGTTGAGTGAACCCATTATGCTAGTCTCTGAGAGCTCACATGAGCACAAGCAGGAGGGAGCAAATGAAGTGAGACAGGGCGTGACTCAAAGAACCAGCAGCTTACAGGTGTCCTGGTGTGACCTCTGTATAAGCACTCCAAAATCCAAAACCACCCTCAAAAAAAATCAGAGGTAGGAATTAAAAAGTTACTTTTGGGGGATGGTAAGCAGTATTTTTTAAGAAAAGCTGTGTTCATTTATTTGAAAAGTGGAGTTACAGGGGCCAGCACCATGGCTCACTTCGTTAATCCTCCACCTGCGGCGCCAGCATCCCATATGGGCACCTGGTTCTAGTCCCAGTTGCTCCTCTTACAGTGCAGCTCTCTGCTGTGGCCTGGGAGGGCAGTGGAGGATGGCCCAAGTGCTTGGATGCCTGCAGCCACGTGGGAGACCAGGAGAAGGCACCTGGCTCCTGGCTTTGGATTGGCGCAGCGCCGGCCGTAGCGGCCATTTGGGGGGTGAGCCAATGGAAGGAAGACCTTTCTCTCTATCTCTCTCTCTCACTGTCTAACTTTATCTGTCAAAAAAAGAAGAAGAAGAAGAAGAAGAAGAAGAAGAAGAAGAAGAAGAAGAAGAAGAAGAAGAAAAGAAAAGTAGAGTTACAGAGAGGGAGAGGCAGAGAGAGAGGGCTTCCATCCCCTGGCTTACTCCCCAAATGGCTCAAAAGCCAGGGCTGGTCCAGGCTGAAGTCAGGAGCCAGGAGCTTTATCAGGAGCCCACACACTTGGACAATCCTCCACTGCTTTCCCATGCACATGAGCAGGGAGCTGGATCAGAAGTGGGGCAGCCAGGACTCGAACTGGCACCCACATGGGATGCTGGACTGCAGGCAGCAGCTTAACCTGCTGTTCCACAGTGCCATTCCCAGCAGTATTGTTTTATTTATTTATTTTTTAGACAGGCAGAGTGGACAGTGAGAGAGAGAGAGACAGAGAAAAAGGTCTTCCTTTTTCCGTTGGTTCACCCTCCAATGGCCGCCGCGGCCGGCGCGCTGCGGCCAGCACACCGCGCTGACCCGAAGCCAGGAGCCAGGTGCTTCTCCTGGTCTCCCACATGGGTGCAGGATCCAAGCACTTGGGCCATCCTCCACTGCACTCCCGGGCCACAGCAGAGAGCTGGCCTGGAAGAGGGGCAACCAGGACAGAATCCGGCGCCCTGACCAGGACTAGAACCCGGTATGCCAGCGCCGCAGGCAGAGGATTAGCCTATTGAGCCGCGGTGCCGGCCTTGTTTTAAGACAGAGTAACTGAACTGTGAGGTGGGTTAAGTGGAGGCAAGGAGGGAGCTGGTGAATGGTTTTCAAAGCTCAGCAGAGGAATTCAGGTTAAATACAATCAACTGCTTTAAGCATCAGAACTTTTCCCCAAACTCAGCCAGTGCTAAATGGAATCTTACCAGGAGCCTGTTACACGCAACAGACCAGATCAGCGATCTCCTGTTACACTCCGCGTGCCCCTTACCTTCAGGTACTTGTTTGGAATCGCTGCCTCATTGAGTCCTCGCCACTGGTCTTCCTTGGCATGGGCCTCTTTCAAGTCCACGAAGTAACCAGTGACCGGCGTCCGCCCACAGTGGACTGGAGGCTTCCACTGGAGAACCAGGGAGGTCTTCCGCACTTCACTGTACTTGAGGCTCTGCGGTGGTCCTGAGGGAGGACCCAATGGATAGAAACCATGATGTAGATAAGAAAACACAAAATGTGTGAGTTTACAACCATCTTTAACGTCTTTAAATTGAGCCTGATGCCGGTGTTCTTTTTCAAATCTAGCATTAACATGAAAGTGGGTATTTTGTGGTCATTTTGTCATCTTTCCCTGACTGCTCTACATACCTCAACCCATTAAGTTTCCTGATGATAGTAGGTGGGTAAAGTCACTTGAAGGTGCCCATCAGAGGCTGTATCAAAACTTGCCTTCATGCTGCCCTCAAGTCTCAAGTTTTAGAAGCAAATTATTTCAAATTACCTTTCACTGATAGTCTAAAAATCTCCCTCAATCTCAAATAGTTTGAAGAAAGCAATTCTATATGATGGCATATGAATATAGGTAATAATACTTCATTCAAAAGAAAAAGGAACTATCCCCAGTAGGAAGGAAATATTCCTCTAAAGCACATATTCCACAAATATATAAAAAAATGAGAGTTCATGGTTTACACAAAATTTTCAGTAAAATAAATACAGTCTGTCCCCTGGGTCCTGAATCTGTGCTAAATACTGCCAGGTATTTTACATTTATTTATTTTCTTTATCCTTAAGACAATCAACAATACTCAGAGAGAGGCCAAGTAACTGGATAACCCTCTCGTGCAAGAAGCCAGAATGTGCTCCATATGAATGCTTTTTGCATTCTTGGGAGGGAAGGTCCAAACCACTAGCGGCTGCCTGTGTATCTGAATGACCCCCGCTGCTCTGCAGATGATAAAGCTATTTATTTCAGTTTTTTCTTTTTCTTGCCTTACTTTTTAAAATAATGACTGATTGCTGGCTAACCAACTGAAATTGCCTAAAATGACTCACAGTGGCCTGAAAGCTAATTATAAGCATAGCCTCAAACATGCTACATTTTGGCATTTGCAATTGATAATTCAATATTTGTTTGGCGCTTTACCTTGGCTTAACAGTTACAAATATGTCATCCTCGTTTTCTAATGTTTTATATGGAAATACATTTAATTAACAGCAGATACCTAATTGCAAAGGGCTTTTATGACCATGATTTTGCATAATCCTTAGAACCCAGTGAAGCATCCCAGTGGTGATCACTGACCCTGCCTTACAGAGGAGGAACTAGTTTCTACTGCTTCCTAGCACCTCTAGTCTGGAGTAGTAAGACTTATTTCCAACCTAATTCTGCCACTTGCTGCCTGTGTGACCTTTCTTTTAACTTGAGTCTCAATTTCTTCATCTGTAAAATGAAAGGATGACAAGACATTCTAACTGCTCTCTCCTTCAGGAACTCTCCTGATGTATGTCTTGCACAACAGTCTAAGTCAAAGATGGGACAGAGGAGCCACGTGGTGGGGTGGAGGACTGTCCCTTCGACTTTTTTTCACCCTGCAATCTACTCTGTTAACTACCTCACTTCCTATTGAGATATTTTCTATAGGCCTGCTCAGAATTTCTTAGCCTATGGTCACTTGCATTTATCTTCATTCAGGAATTGCAAGAATTTGTAAACAGACCTACATTTGTGCAGGTGGCAGAACTTAAGAACTACCAATGGACTTCAAGGAGGTGTAAGAAAAAACAGTGTGTTTGCCTCTTCGAGCACTTGAACTTCTCTTGAGTTCCTCTTATAATTTTTCTACTCACACTTGCAGAGAAGTGATGCAAATGGACGCTCCTTAGGTGATGACAACATGAAGGCTTTTCAACAGTTTCAAAAACAGGAGGAGGGTGGCACTGGGGCCAGGGATTCTCCAGTTGTAAAAATGGATAATAAATCCAGATGGAAGAATTTACTCATCCTGTGGCACTTGAAGTGTTTGGGTCTCTTAAGTCAGTACCATACATTAATGCTGCTAGCTTGAATTTTCATAGCTTAGTAAATTGTTTATATCCTCGGTTTTATACTCTATAACAGTTATTTGTCGGACAATCTTTGAAGGAGATTTTTTGCCAGCCAGATTTTTTTTAATTAAAAAAAATTTTTAATTTGACAATAGAGTTAGACAGTGAGAGAGAGAGACAGAGAGAAAGGTCTTCCTTCTGTTGGTTCACCCCCTAAATGGCCACAATGGCCGGCGCTATGCCAATCCGAAGCCAGGAGCCAGGTGCTTCTTCCTGGTCTCCCATGCGGGTGCAGGGCCCAAGCACTTGGACCATCCTCCACTGCACTCCCAGGCCACAGCAGAGAGCTGCACTGGAAGAGGAGCAACCGGGACTAGAACCCAGCGCCCATATGGGATGCTGGCGCCGCAGGTGGAGGATTAACCAAGTGAGCCACGGTGCTGGCCCCGCCAGCCAGGTTTAAGAATATTTTTAGGGATGCAGAGTTTGGAAAGTGTGGGGAGAGAAAGAACAGGAGAAGTCAGTGCAGAGAGGCAAGTGCAGAGAAGCTGTACTTGAGTCCTAGGTAGACATGTTAAATCCATCCATGTGGTACAATGAGAAGCTGGGAAAGGGAGGGAGGAGGAAAGAAAACAAGGAACAGAATCCACATGGGTTTGGTCTAGAGAAAATTTTGTGGAGTGGGGTGAGATGTTTCAGAGCAGAGGGAGAATGCATGAGAATGAGGGGGTGCAGGAAAGTTTTGGGTGCCCTTTACTGGCCTTCAAGAAGCAAAAGCAAAGATCAGTGTGCTCTTTGGCACTCAAATTGTGTGTTTCTATCAATCCTATTCCAAGCAGAAACTGAGCTATGGAGGCTGCAGGATTCAGCTGGAATACAAGCATAAAGAATTTATATTGTTTAATGTTGTTATTATCTAATGTTATCATTAAAATATTTTAGGTGAACAAGCAGGGCCAAGAGACTTCTTTTCCTTTAAATGTTGTCCATACAGTAATTCAGTGCAGTTCCATGTTCTAAGTGTTTTGGAAGAAACTCCAGGGCTTCAGGGCTGGGGTGTGGTTTCCACCACTTACCTGGAACAGCAATGGTCCACTCTTCACAGGTGAAGCATTCACTCACTGCTGAGGGCGCTCCCAACCCAGCGATGTTCATGGCCGCCACTTGGAATTGATAAACCATGTTTTCCTTCAAGTTACTAATCTGCAACATTGAAAACATCACAGACAGGATGTTTGAGCTTTGCTTTTCCTAGTTGTTTGATATTTTATTTACCTTCTATGTTGCACACACCTATGGTGACCTTGTTTCATTCTAGTTGTTTAACATTTCATTTGTTGACCTCCTATGTTGGATGCACCCCAGGGCGATCCTCAATAAATCATAACCTTTTGTACTCTCTTCTCTGAGTGTGGGTGAAACTGAACTGCCTACAGTCAATAGAATATGGTAAATGTATTGGAAAACAAGTTCTGTGATTGTGCTATTTGTGATGTGCCAATGGAGAAGTGATACTGTAATTAAGGTCCCTAATCAGCTGATTCCAGTTCATCTAAAAGGAAATTATCCTAGATAAGTAATAAGAATCCTGGTAAGAACTCTCAAAATGAGACTTGCATCCTTCCTGAAGAGAAACATTGTCCTGAGTGCCTGGCTGAAGTAAATACCATGCTGTGAACTGCCCAGCTATTCACATCTGGAGAAGAGTAACAACCTTACAGCTGCAAGGAACTGCATTCTGCCACAGTGTGAATGAGCTGGGGAGAACTCAAGTTCAGAGTTCAGCTGACACCCAGACAGTAGCCTGTGTGACCCTGAGCATAGGACCCAGCTACGCTGTTCCGGGCGCCAAACCCACGAACGTGTAACAGAACAAATGTGAGTTGTTTTAAGTCACATGCTTTGTAAATTTGTTATACAGCAGTACATGTATATATTTAATGCATGTACAAATAGAAATTAAATGAGTTTTAAGCTAGGAGTTAAAATATCCAAATTCTTACAATATTTCTGCTCTTTTCTGAGTGACCAAGTATTTTCTATGTCCTTCAGTAAGATGTTGACATATAATATTTTAACTATCTCACACCAAAGATAAAGTGAAAATATTGAAAGAAATCTAAAAAAAATTACCCTCAAATGAGCAAACAGTGAACCAGAAAGAGTGGGAGTATAACTTTAAATTGCTGAAAGAAACAACTACCAATGTAGAATGTTTTACCCAGAAAAAATATTTGTGACAATGAAACAAAAAATAAAGATATTTTTAAGACAAATTAAAATGAATTTGTTCTCAGAATATCCTCACTGAAGGAAATCCCAAAATGTCTACTTAAGACAAAAGGAAATAACCTTTGACAGAAGGTCAAAGATGAGGAATCAAAAGCAAATAAAATGGTTAATATACAGGTATTATATTAATTCATATTTATTTTATCATTTTATTAATTCACATCTATATTATATCACATTAATTACATCAATTCATACTTATTTATAGTAATTATTATGTTGTTATATTATTAATTATATATTGATAATCAATTATTATTAATTATCAATAATTTAGGTATAATATAATTAAATGTTCATTATATATTATTATATAAATATTATACATTATATATAACATATACAATTATATAATTTATATGATATAGTATGTATAATAATATTATATGTAGTAATAATGCATATATAATATACAATATATTAATTATATTTATATTAAGTATATTTATATTAATTTTATTAATTTATTAATTTATATTAATCAATTAGCTATTTTATTTATCGTTGATTATTATCTGTATTAATTAAATTATATTAATAAATATTATAATAATATTACTTTATATTAATTAACATATTGATATATAGGTTAGTATATAGGTAAAAATGGTTAATATATAGGTAAATCTAAACAAATTTTGACTCTACAAAAGAGCAATCAATCATAATGCTATTTGAATTTAAAGAGAACACAGAAAAACACACAACAGTATATATGAGACACTTCAAAAAGTTATGGGAAAACTAAGTTTATTTTCATGTGAGAAAATTTGAAATAGTTTCTTCATAATAGGCATTTTCCATGTATGTTTTTGAAGATCCCACATAAATTGAGAAAAGGCCCTTATGTTCCTAAGTGAAAGGTAAAATCAATGGATGTTTGCTTGACTGTGAAAAACAAATGAAGAAACAAACAAAAACCAAGAATCTATACCTTCTAATATATTATAGGGGGTTAATTAAAATGATATTTTAAAACTATTCAAAAGTGGTCAAAGAAGGGCAGAAAATGTAACATAGAACAGAAAGGACAAAAAAGAGAAGACAAAATGAGATGACTGAATTTTTTAAAAAATAGTAAATAATAACATTAAACATTCTTAAGTGACAAAGACTATCATGTGGAACTAACTAAAACACAACTTGATGCTATTTTTAAGACACACATATACAGCAGAAAGTTACAAAAAAGACGGAAAGTTACAGGATAAAAAGTTACACAGCATGAAAGCACCAATAAAAAGAAAACCAATGTTTCTCTATTATTAACAGGCAATATGGACCTTTTTAAAATATTTTGGGACAATGTGGACTTTAAGGCAAGACATATTGTTAGCAATAAACAGGCACCTTGTATGTACCTAATAACATCACTTCAAAAAGAATTTTTTTTTTAAAGAATTACTTATCTACTTGAAAGGCAGAGATACAGAGAAGGAGAGAGATCTTTCACTGGCTGGTTCACTCTGCAACGGCTGGGGCTGGGCCAGGTGAAGCCAGGAACCAGGATCTTCTAGGTCTCCTACACAGGTACAGGGGCCCAAGCACTTGGGCCATCTGCTGCTGCTTTCCCAGGTCATTAGCAGGGAGCTGGATTCAAAGTGCAGCAGGTGCAGCAGCTGGGATTCAAACCAGCGCCCATATGGGACGCTGGCACTGCGGGCTATGGCATAGCCTTCAACACCACAGCACAGACCCCACTTCAAAATTTATAAAGTAACATTTTAAATGAGTGAATTTTATGGTAGGTAAATTAGCTCTCAATAAAGTGAGGTTATCCTGTAATCTTTCCTTCCTGTACTGTTCTTGTAAGAAATTGGTACAGGGGCCGGGGCTGTGGCACAGTGGGTTAAAGCTCCAGCCTGCAGCGTTGGCATCCCATATGGGTGCCAGTTTGAGTCCCGGCTTGCTCCTCTTCCGATCCAGCTCTCTGCTATGGGCTGGGAAAGCAGTGGAAGTTGGCCCAACTCCTTGGGCCCCTGCACCCACGTGGGAGACCTGGAGGAAGCTCCTGGCTCCTGGCCAGCTCAGCTCAGCTCTGGCCGTTGCAGTCATTTGGGGAGTGAATCATTGGAATGGAAGACCCCTCTCTCTCTGCCTCTCCTTCTCTCTCTGTGTAACTTTGACTTTCAAATAAATAAAATAAATCTTAAAAAAAAAAGAAATCGGTACAAATTAATTCTAGCCTCAATATAATCTCATTCATAAACATAGAAGCAAAAATCCTTAATGGTAATCAGCAAGAAAATCCACAAATATATAAACAAGATATGCACAGAGTCCAAGCTGGGTTTCTCCCAGGAATGTAAGGTTGTTTTAACATTAGACAGTTACTAGAATGCACCACATTAAATTCAAGGGGTAAATCACATAATCACTTCAATAGACTCAGGGGGGAAAACTGATAATTAAATAACTCTCAATAACCTGGAACTAAAGACATTTTCTTTAATTGATAAAAGTTATCTACAAAGCACCTATAGAAAACATAATAGTTAAAGGTGAAATGCTGCGAATTTTCCTTTTAAGATAAGGATCAAGTCTAGAAGGACCAACTTCACCACTTCTATTGAACATTGTGTGAGTCTAGGCACAAAGCAAAGTAAGAAAATAAAGTAAAAAATATAAAATTTGGAAAGAAGAAGTAAACTATCAATATTTACAGATGACCTGACTATGTAAGAGGGAATATAGGGGCTGGTGCTGTGGCGCAGTAGGTTAATCCTCTGCCTGCGACACCGGCATCCTGCACCCATGTGGGAGACTGGGAAGAAGCACCTGGCTCCTGGCTTCGGATTGGTGCATCTCCAGCCATTGCGGCCATTTGGAGAGTGAACCAGCGGGTGGAAGACCTTTCTCTCCGTCTCTCCCTCTCACTGTCTGTAACTGTACCTCTCAAATAAATAAATAAAATCTTTAAAAAAAAAAGAGGGAATAAAACAAATTATAGGTAACTTATTAAAGTCATTAAGAACACTTAGCAGGGGCTGGCATTGTGGTGCCAACAGGCTAAACCACCACCTGAAATGCCAGCATCCCACACGGGTACCAGTTTGAGTCCAGATTGCTCTACTTCTAATTCAGCTCCCTGCTGGTGTGCCTGGGAGAGCAGTGTAGGATGACTCTAAGTACTCCAGCTCCTGTGCCATGTGTGAGACATGGATGAAGCTCCTCACTTCTGCCTGGCCCAGCACTGGCCCTAAATGCAGCCATTTAGGGAGTGAACTCTCTGTTTCTCCCACTCCCTTTCTCTCTCTGTAACTCTGCATTTCAAATAAATAAATAAATAAATCTTTAAAAAATTTTAGAAAAGAAAACAGCAAAAAACTACATTTAACAACAGTATTCAAAATCAATATTTAAAAATTATAGTTCTCTATACAGCAACAAAACTATATAAAAATATACTATTGACAACACTGAAAATATATAGTACCTATAAATAAGTGATGTGCAAATCTCTGCAGAGAATTACAAAATTTTAAAGAAAAACTTTAGGGGCCAGTGCTGTGGCACAGTAGGCTAAGCCTCTGCCTGCAGTGCCGACATCCCATATGGGCACCGATTCAAGTCCCAGCTTCTCTACTTCCAATCCAGCTCCCTGCTTGTGGCCTGGGAAAGCAGCCAGAAGATAGCTCAAGTTCTTAGGCCTCTGGACCTGGGTTGGAGACCCAGAAGAAGCTGCTGGCTTCTGGCTCCTGACTCAGCTTCAGCCGTTGTGGCCATTTGGGCAGTGAACCAGCAGATGCAAGACCTTTCTCTCTGTCTCTCCCTCTTTGTGCCTGCAACTTTCCCTCTCAAATAAATAAACAAAATCTTTTTTTAAAAAAAGGAGAAAAACTTTAAAGAAGAGCAAAATAAATGAAGAGAAATATCATGTTCATGAATTAGCAGACTTATTTTTTAAAAGGCAATTATTCCTTACCTAATATTTTTAAAAGTATCAATCATTCCTTAATTTACTCCTAGATTCAATGTAGTCCCAATTTTAATTCCAATGGATTTTAGTTTATATTATTTCTTTTATTGTTGTCTTTCTTTTTTTCTTGTGTGTCTTTGTTTTTGGTAAAACTTGGCAATGTAATTCTACAACTTATATCAAAGTACAAATAGCTAAGAATAGCCCTGGTAGAAGAAGGAACTGGCAGAACTTGATCTATCAGTTATCAAGTTTACTGTAAAGCCATAATAATTGAATCAGTGTAGTTTGGCCCAGGGTAGACAAACACACCAGAAGCACAGAATAGAGATCACCAGAATGGTCTTGTGCCTATAAGAAAATTGATATGATACAGGCAGCCTAGCAGAACTGCAGAAAAGGACAAACTTCAACAGACAATACTGGGGAACTCTGTCTCCACTGGAGGTGGGGTAGGATTAATGTGACCCTTACCTCACAGTGTATACAAAAATTAAAGGTGAGTTAATGACTGAAATGTAAGTGGGAGGGGCCGGCGCTATGGCACAGTGGGTTAACACCCTGGCCTGAAGTGTTGGCATCACATATGGGCGCCGGTTTGAGACCCAGCTGCTCCACTTCCAATCCAGCTCTCTGCTATGGCCTGGAAAAGCAGTAGAAAATGGCCCAAGTCCTTGGACTTCTGCACCCACGTGGGAGACCCGGAAGAAGCTCCTGGCTCCTGGCTTTGGATTGGCACAGCTCTGGCCATTGCTGCCATCTGAGGAGTGAACCATTGGATGGAAGACCTCTCTGTCTCTACCTCTCTCTGTAACTCTGTCTTTCAAATAAAAATAAAATAAATCTTTAAAAAATGTAAGTGGGAAAACCATAAAGCTTCTAGGATGTAATCTACAATATCTCTATGAAAAGTATTTCTTCAAAAAAGCACAAATCACCAGTGACAAAGGAAATATTGGTACATCTGACTACCATTAATTTGAGATTAAAATGAATGTGGTTCAGGAAATATTTAGATGTTGAATTGCCACTGGTTCTATTTAATTGAAAGAAATTCTGAATGACTAGTTGACCAAAAAAAAAATATATATATGGGTGAGATGGTCATTTACACATTCAATTTTTTTTTTAGCCTTTGTCTATATTCTAACTAAACTAGGGTCCCTGTACTTGTAAAACTACTTGCAAAACTCCTTAATTGGTGAAGGATAAAGCCTTTGTACTGTAATCTAAATTTAAAATGTTATCTCAAAAACTAAAAAAAAAAAAAAGGCAGAAAGAAGGGTAGAAGGAATGAAAGTGGGGGAAGGGAAGATGGGAATATCATGTTTTTAGATTTGTGTCTACAAATTACATTGAACCTGTTAAAATTAATTAAAATTTTAAATTTTTTAAAAATTAATGTGGTCACTATAAAGAGGAAAACATGGCCAGCGCCGTGGCTTACTAGGCTAATCCTCCGCCTAGTGGCGCCGGCACACCGGGTTCTAGTCCCGGTCAGGGCGCCGGATTCTGTCCCGGTTGCCCCTCTTCCAGGCCAGCTCTCTGCTGTGGCCAGGGAGTGCAGTGGAGGATGGCTCAAGTCCTTGGGCCCTGCACCCCATGGGAGACCAGGAGAAGTACCTGGCTCCTGCCATTGGATCAGCGCGGTGCGCTGGCCGCAGCGGCCACTGGAGGGTGAACCAACGGCAAAAAGGAAGATCTTTTTCTCTGTCTCTCTCTCTCACTGTCCACTCTGCCTGTCCAAAAATAAAAAAAAAAAAATTTAAAAAAAAAGAAAAAAAAAGAGGAAAACATGCCACTGGTGGTAGAAGATAACACAATTTACACAGATCAGTATTTATATTAATAACATATAAAGAATGTTATGAGTCAATAAAAAAAATTAGAAAAATGGGTAGAAGCCTTAACAGGCATATCATTTAAAAAATGTTAAGGGAACAGTGCTGTGACACAGCAGGTAAAACCACCACCTGGGCACCAGTTCAAATTCTGGCTGCTCTACTTCTAATCCAGCTCCCCGCTAATGTGCCTGGGAAAGCAGCAGAGGATGGCAGAAGTCCTTGGGCCCCTGCATCCACGTGGGAGAACAGGAAGAAACTCCTGGTTCCTGGCTTTGGATCAGCCAAGCCCCAGCGGTTGTGGCTATTTGGGGAGTGAACCAGTGGATGGAAGCTCTCTGTCTCTTCTTGTCTCTCTGTAACTCTGCTTTTCAAATATATAAATAAATCTTTAAAAATATGTTAGAATGGACCACTTACAAAGAAAAATATATTCACATTCATTTGATACTCAGATTGCCAAAACTGAAATTGTGTGAATACACCAAGTGTTGACAAGGATGTAAAGCAACAGGAATTTCCGTATTCTTCAGAAAAGAGTATGGAATTCTCTACTAGAGTGGAAGATAAATGACTCTGGTCTAGCTAATCTACTCTGTGAATAAGCTACAGAAACTAAATGCACATATGAACAAGCACATGTACAAAAACCTTCACAGGTGGGGCTGGTCCTTTGGCATAGTGGGTAAAGCTGCTGCCTGCAGCACTGGCATCCCATATGGGCACCAGTTCGAGTCCCAGCTACTCCATTTCCCATCCAGTTCCCTGCTAATGCAACTGGGAGAGCAGCAGAAGGTGGCCCAAATGCTTGGGCCCTTGCACCCATGTGGGAGACCTAGAAGAAGCTCCGGCTCTTGGCTTTGGCCTAGTCTAGCCCCCAGGTGCTGCAGTCATTTGAGGAATATGGAAGACCTCTCTCTCTGCCTTTCCCTCTCTCTGTGTCTTTCCCTCTCTCTCTCCATAACTCTGCCTTTCAAACAAATAAAATAAATCCCTTTTTAAAAAATCTTCCAATAGATACTTTCCAAAGGATTGAATTTTTTTCTCTCTAGATTGTTTCATAAGAGGTCAACACCCTGGCCTACTGTCCAACAGAACTTTTAGGTAACTTATTAACTTAGCTATTAAGAAAACTTAGCAGGGGCTATCATTGTGGCGTAATGTGTTAAGCTACTGCCTGCAATGTCAGCATCCTATATAGGAAATGGTTCGAGTCCAGATTGCTCCACTTCCAATCTAGCTCCCTGCTGGTGTGCCTGGGAGAGCAGCCGAGGGTGACCCAAATGCTTGGGCCCCTGAACCCATGTGGGAGACCTGGAAGAAGTTCCTGGCTCCTGACTTCAGCCTGGCCCAGCCCTGGCCATTGTGGTTATTTGCGGAATGAACCACAGGATGGAAGAGCTCTCTCTCTGACTCTGCCTCTCCCTCTCTGTAACTCTGTCTTTCAAATAAATAAATCTTTATTTAACATTTAAAAAATGTTCATATCTGCATCATGTGAAAGTACCCAAATAGCATTCAATAACAGAGTGGAAGAGTATACTGTGATACAGTCAAATGATGAAATACCATACAGTAATGAAAAGATTGCATATTGCTACACACATAGATGTGAAAGAATCTTGAACATGTAATTTCACTTGTACACTCTAAGTATGTATATGACATTCCATAATTTTCAAATGTTAAATTAGAATGTGGCATTGAATTGGGAAATCTGCATTGCCCTGGCCTTACCCTGCTATGGACCCTCAAAGCATGAGGTTCTGTGAGTGCTGGGAGATGACAGTAATGAGGGGAGCCATCAGTGAAGGCATCAGTGAGACCTCAGGTGCCTGAGGTGGGCTGAATAGTGGAGGCCTCTGTGTAGAGTAGTACACACACGGAGTACTCCTCTCTGGCCAACAGAGCCACTGTGCAGGGACACTTAGTGGAAGACTGAGTCCACCAAGGCCTTATCCCTTTGTCCTCTGAGATTTAGATACTGAGAGTTAAAACTCTAGAGTCATTTGGATCCAGGGACTCTTGAAGCTAGTGGCATACTGGATGTGGATGTTTTATAAATTTTGCAAGAAACATTAGTTTTCCCAATCAGTATACATTTTGTGATAAATATTCTAAGAAAATATTATGTATATGAATCAGAATATATAAATGTTACCTGGTTAACTAAACTTCTTGTATTTACCTAGGTGTGTTTTTCACGAACTCATGATACAGCAGACAATGGACACTGGAGAAATGGCAGGAATCCTTTACAAGGTGCTGAGGGTGCACATGTGCGTGTGTGCAAGCATAGCCTCATATGTAGGACAGAAGTCACAGACTTACCTTGTATGCCTCGTCACTGACAGCCTTGATGTTGGCTTCTCTCCATTTTCCAGGTACTCCACCAATTACCTCGCGATAATTCACATAATAGCCAGTAATTTCTGTCCCTCCAGTCTTATCTGGTTGCTTCCATCCAAGAACCATTGAGTCACGAAAACTTTCAAGACATTTGATATCATAGGGTGGAGATGGTGCCGCTGTTGCAATAAGAATAGCTTGTGAGTAAAACAGATATGCATTAATGACTCCCTATGTATCAAACTTGCTTAACTGATGCCATGTATGAGGGCACTAGATCTTGCAGTGTAAAATTAAAACATGAGACTTATTAGTAACTTGACCTATGACTTGATGTAGAAAAAATGATGGACACGGGGTCAAAAGTACACTGCAATTATAATGCCAAAGATAAAAAGAATCTGCTGCAGCAAGATGGTACAATATCCTGAAAAGAATGACTCTTTTTTTCCACAATAAGAAATATTTTTTCCAAGGTATGTATTTTTGTTTTTTATGTGGTTTTGTTTTTATCTGCCTTCTGAAGAAAGTGGAATGTGCATTATCAGTTTCTGCTTCAATTCCCTTATTTAGAATTTCCAAATGATTAGATCTCACTATTCAGGCTCTCTTATCCTTGCAGAGAGCTTGCAAACAGGAGAAATCTTATTCTGGAACACAGCTTTCAAAAACATTTTTTAAAAGCAGGTATTGGGGCTAGCACTGTGGCTCAGCAGGTGAAGCCACTGCCTGCAGTGCTGGCATCCTCTATGGGCACCAGTTTGAGTCCCAGCTGGTCCACTTCTGATCCAGCTCTCTGCTATGGCCTGGGAAAGCAGTGGAAGATGGCCCAAGTCCTTGGGCCCCTGCACCTGTGTGGGGGACCGGGAGGAAGCTCCTGGCTCCTGGCTTTGGATTGGCCCAGCTCCAGCCATTGCGGCCATTTGGGAGTGAACCAGCGGATAGATCTCTCTCTCTCTCTCTCTCTCTCTCTCTCTCTCTCTGCTTCTGCCTCTCTGTAACTCTTTCAAGTAAAATAAATAAATCTTTTTTTTTTTTTGACAGGCAGAGTTAGACAGTGAGAGAGAGGGAAACAGAGAGAAAGGTCTTCCTTTTTCTGTTGGTTCACTCCCCAAATGGTCGCCACAGCCAGCACTGCACTGATCCGAAGCCAGGAGCCAGGTGCCTCCCCCTGGTCTCCCATGGGGTGCAGGGCCCAAGCACTTGGGCCATCCTCCACTGCCCTCCCAGGCCACAGCAGAGAGCTGGACTGGAAGAGGAGCAACTGGGACAGAGCCTGGCACCCCAACCGGGACTAGAACCCTGGGTGCTGGCGCTGCAGGCGGAGGATTAGCCAAGTGAGCTGCGGCGCTGGCCTAAATAAATCTTAAAAAAAAAAAAAAAAAAAAAACCAGGCACAATGGCACAATGTACTCTGCGATTTTCTCTTAGTATATAATATTTTTGTTGCATTATTTTTAACCTGATGTGGAATATTACTTATTATACTGCTGGCACTGTGCACTGTGCACTGTGTTTGTTAATGCCTACTTGGAAAAATATTTGGAGAACATTTCAAAAGTCTTCCTTCATTTTGTGGCTTTGCTAATCAACTTTTCGATCTACTATTGACATTACAGTACGGAGTGATGGAAAGAAATCCATCTAAATATGCAATGATGTCAGAAGGAATTTTATAAATATTTATTTGGATTGTGGAGAATAAACTATCTTATTCTTTTTTTCCCCACTCACCAACCTCCTTTATTCTTTACATCTAAAAAAAAAGAGTTCAGAGTACTGTTTGAACATGAACCTCAAATGAATATCTCATCTCATTTTGAGATGAGGGACAAATAAAAGTGTCAAAAAACATTGGTTGTTGGCCGGTGCCAAGGCTCAATAGGCTAATCCTCCGCCTAGCGGCGCCAGCACACCAGGTTCTAGTCCCGGTCGGGGCACCGCATTCTGACCCAGTTGCCCCTCTTCCAGGCCAGCTCTCTGCTGTGGCCCGGGAGTGCAGTGGAGGATGGCCCAAGTACTTGGGCCCTGCACCCCATGGGAGACCAGGAGAAGCACCTGGCTCCTGGCTTCGGGTCAGCGCGGTGCGCCAGCCGCAGCGCGCTGGCGGCAGCGGCCATTAGAGGGTGAACCAACGGCAAAAGGAAGACCATTCTCTCTCTCTCTCTCTCTCTCTCTCACTGTCCACTCTGCCTGTCAAAAAAAAAAAATTGGTTGTTTCAGAGGTTGGGGGTGGGTAGAAATAGGGGATGGATGAGAGACATTTAGAAATTTATCACCATGTGTTCATCATTTTCTTTCTTATTTGATTAGAAAAACATTCTACCTTAGGATATATGTATGTGTGTGTGTGTGTGTGTGTGCATAAATATGTGTGATAAATGGCTTGATAGCTCATTTCTGTGAAAAATATTCTATTGTCTGCATGTACCACCGTTTATCCACTTACCTACTGAAAAATTTTATACACACACACACTTTTATACCACATATATCAAATATCCTAATTGGATAATCTTAGTTTACTGATAGTCTAAAGTAAATCTCTCTGGGAATGTGGATTGCATATCATAGCAACTCAGAACAGACAGTTATCTATAGTCATTTGAAGTAAATTATTTGAAAGCTGAGGGAGACCAACAGAAGTTCACAACCATGGCCCTGCCTCAATGTTACATGCTTGTGAAATATTTTTCTGCTACACGTACTGAACATGAATGTCCTAAAGGATCTCACATAGGCTATGACTTTTAGGTTCTAGCTGCCCTCATGCTTAATTCTCTTGGCAAAATGAGACCACAGGTGTGCCTCCCTGACAAACAACAACAAAAAAGTTCTGTAACCAAATTACTCTAGACCTTCTGCCATTATTAAGCCCCAAACCCCTACCCAATTACTTTTGCAAGTCGTTAGATGAAAGTATTTCAAGTGGCGAGCTGAGGACACAAAAAATTAAGAACCAACATTGATGAGAGCAAACAGAGATGAGAGATGGGATCTGGACAATGAGATGAGGACAGGATGGAGACAGATGAGACAGTTCGATTTTTTCAACTCTCACCTAGGTCCTTCTTCGTTTTCGGGGGCTCAGACTTACTTTTCCCCTTAGGAGCTGCCTTCTCTGGTGATGGGGTCAGCTCTTCCTGAACTGTTTCAGTTACTTTACTCACTTCTGTTTGGCCCAGGTTGTGGGAGCTACTGGGTGGTGAAGGTTTGTTAAGTTTGCTATAGAGCAAAGCATCTTTCTGAAAGGTTGGCGGGGAGGCCTCATGCACAAACCCCCTGGAGTCTGTTAGTCCACCGGGCGCAGCACTCGGCTCAGGCCACACATCTGGAGATACTTCTCCCCCTACAATTTCCAAATAACAACAGAAATGCGGTGAGCCTGGACACAGCGCACATTGCTCTTAGGTAAGAGAATAAGTAGAAAACATTAGGACCACAAGCAGAAGAAAAACAGTCATGGCTTAACGGAAGTCAGTTGAATTTGCCAGAAATACAGAAAGCGTACATTTCACATAATTTACACCAGAATACATTTAAACTTCTCCATATTCTGGGAAAAGAAGAAACGAGAGCAACAACAAAAGCAAAAAACCATAGACAGAACAGGAACTGTTTCTATATGCAGAACTAAATGCGTCTTTATGTAAGAAAAAACATGTCTCAGACATTTCTTGAGATATAAGCCTTATTATTCAACAGAACTTTAAAGAGTGATCATAAAGTGTACAAGAGACATATTAAAATCCTAATCCTAATTTTATAACAGAAATATGCCCATTACTACTATAGTAATGATCTGTACCTCCCAATCTCAAAGCAACATGACCACTATTGTCCATATAAGGAATATTCAAAGGTAATATGGGATGATAACTGAACACAAGTGATATTCTTTTTAATGTGTTATCATTTCACAGATTTTATTTTTGTCCCTCTGAACTACCTGAGTTCTCTCTCTACTTTCCAAGCTTAAGAGGTACATCACACACACACACATATGTAAACATGTGATTAAGCAATGACATGTGCTTTGCATGAGTTTTAGAGGAGTTTACAAAAAGCAGGTTAATGTGCTATTAGTGAAAACAAGCCTGGCTTCGTCGCAGATGAAATGGCTTTTAGATGATCTGTGTTACGGGTGATGCCCCACTTCATGGAATCAGGATGGCCCTTCTCAGTCCCAGGATGAGTGTGAAGTTAGAATGGAGGCTCACACAATGGGAAATATGAGGAAACTTGGGCTTGTGAAGATGGGAAGGTTATAGATGCCAAGAATCAGGACAAGTGACGAAGATCTGTAAAATGACAGCTATGGAAAGTTAGACGTCACCAAGAGTCAAAGAAAATGACCATCTCAGGATGCAACCATGGAGCAGTACTACAAGCTTCAAATGATTTCTGGAGAGGAAGTTATGTTCCTTTATAACTTAGAAAAACGCATTTCCCCCGACAAAGTTATGCATGACGAACTTACCAATAGCGGCTTTGACCTCAATAGCTTCCGAATCCTGGGAATATTCACTAAGCCCAGCAGCATTAACGGCTCTGACCCGGAAAATATAACTCTGACCAGTCACCAATCCATGACAAGTAAATCTAAAAGGAAAGAAAAATTTTTAAAAATTCTAGAAAGGAAGTCAGGGAAGATGATTATTAGCTCAATTAAATGATTTGGTTTTATCAAAATGATTCATTTTTCAAAAAGAATAAAAAGATGCAGAGAGATTCAAATATCTTATATGCTTAAGAAGGCAAATGAGGCAATTTTGTAAATTTTGTTAAAAAAATGGTTTTTCCCTGATGCTCACTGTAAAATGGAGACAATAATACCTACATAATAATGTTCATGTATTAGTTATAAAGTTGTAAAGTACCTATTATAAGGCCTGACATATAAAACTCATTTAATAAGTAATGGGGCATCAACACTATTATTTTTAAATTGTTTTTTTTTTTTTTTGAAAGACAGAGAAACGGAGGGCCAGAGGTAGACAGAAAGAGATCTTCCATTCACTGGCTCACTCCCCCAGTGCTTGCAATAGCTGGGGTTCAGCCAGGTCAAAGCCAGGAGTCTGGAATTTCACCCAAGTCTCTCACATGGTGACAGGGACCTAGTTAATTGAGCCATCACCTGCCAACTCCCAGGGTACATTATCAAGAAACTGGAATTGGAAGCATAGCCAAGACACTCCAATATGGAATGCAGTTCTCCCAAGTGGCATGTTACCTGCTACGTCAAATGCTTCCCCTAATAATATCACTGATGGCTGTTTTAGATATATATTTATGGCTGAAAGGCACAGACTGCTTCTTGTCACAGAGACCTAACCATTGTCTCTCTGAATTTCAGAGAAGGTACAATTACTCAAGAAATTACATTACACTAAAATCTGAGAATAAAATGAAAAATGGATTCTAGAATTACTAATTAAAGGACCCCACAATCAAGCATGAATCCATGGGCAGTTTCATAGAAAAGGCAACCTCATACTTTAATAGCTATTATGGCTATAAAGAGCATTTCATGAAACATTGTACATTTAAATCCATCTTAAGGACTGTACCCAGAGGAAATAACAGGTCTGCTAATGACTCTATGACTGTTAGCACAACCAAATATATAACAGAGTCAAGTAAAATATTGTCCAATCCCTTAGTTTTAGAGTTATCTCAGTTCCACAAACATTTACTGAGCATTCTGGCACTCTGGATCCTGAGCTAGACATTGTAGACACAAATAAAAGGTGGTGCCTGTCTTTCAGCAGCTCCTATTTGTGGAGAGGCAGATTCTGCCCACACTCAAGAATGTTTTTCTAAGTGATCCAAGGAAGATGTTGGAAAACTCAGTAAAAATGAAATACACAGGCAAGCTAGTGAGTCTCTCACAAAACATACTTCCTTCTCCCATTAATAGCTTTCTCTATTCTCTCATGTTCTGTAAAAGAACCAACTTGTAGTATGTGGGTCCTTGGATTTACAAGTGACTCAAGTGAGAAGCTAACTACATAGCCTGTCTGACAATTTTAGGAGAATTCTCCTCTTAGACTGGTCCTAAGTCAAAGGAGGCAGAGTTGAGTGCAGGTCAGAACTCAACATCAGGCTGCAATGCTGCTTGACAAAATTGTTGAAAACAAGAAAAAAAAATCCTCCCGACATTAGAAACAGATACAGGGGCCAGCACTGTGGCACAGCAGGTTAAAGCCTGGGTGCTGGTTCGTGTCCTGGCTGCTCCACTTCTGATCCAGCACCCTGCTAATGTGCCTGGGAAAGTAGCAGAAGGGAGCCCCACCTGGGAGACAGGGAAGAAGCTCCTGGCTCTTGGCTCTGGCTGTTGTGGCCATTTGGGGAGTGAACCAGCAGATAGAAGACCTCTCTCTCTCTGTCTCTACCTCGCTCTGTAACTCTGCCTTTCAAATAAATAAAATAAATCTTAAAAAAAAAAAACAGATACAAAAAGGCATCGAAGTGTTCTGAATATTCTGGTGTGGTCATTTATATCTGCTTAGTACTGGTTTTAATGCTCAGAATTTGAAAAAATGTGGAGACTTTTTTCTGTTTTTTTAGAATGCATGGATAATTTAGGCTAAGTAGAGACTATTAGATTCTTGGAATCTAGTATCACATTTCATATTAAACAGAACAGAGGGGTAAAACCAGAAGAAATAGCAAATAGGAAAAGAATCAGAAAGAGAGATAAAATGAACTCTTAGAATAGCTAGTATGATGTGTTTTTAAGTGTTTAACCTCACAAGGAAAACTTTTTTTTTTTGCCCAAGGGTAATTTGTTAGACATGCTCAATTTTAAATCCATTTGGATATTTAAGGTATAACTTTTTTAAAAAAAAAAAAAAAAAAAAAACCTCCCCCTCAGTTGGGTTTTTTTGCTGCTGTGTGGGTCCATAGTGCCTCCAGGGAGTTACCGTGAGCCCTTCACGGGGTTGTTGTTGCAAGGCGCCCACTCGCCAGAGCCAACCACGCTTGCCTCGATGTAGTATCCGACCAACTCTTTAGCATCTTTGGACTCCTCCCAAGTAACCACTACAGAGGTATCCGTGTTTCTGCTTGGGATGATTTTTCCAGGAGGCTGAGGGATATCTGAGAAAAGAGGAAAATGGTGATCAACTTACTGTGGCTTAAAAAATTCATACTTATCACCAGTGCAGAATATACCCTCATCGAAGTTTTACAAAAAGAATCAAGTCAAATATGTTATCTGCTAACACAGACAATTTTTAAAAGGTTAGGTTGAGAACATAATGATAAGCTAAGTGTCTCTGAACACCAGGAAAAAACACATCAGCACCTACTGTTAAAACTCCAAATTCCTGGGCACGTTTACTTTTCACAAGCAAAACTAATGATGTTTTGTTTAGCAGAGCATGCATAGCTCTCAATAAATATGAAAGAAAGATGTCACCATTTTTACCTGTGACTATACACTTCTGTATATACAAGACTACTTTAACAGTTTGTTGGAAATGAAATGAAAAGACAAGATTATTTTAGCATACACAAAAATGAAATACATGGATAGTTTTTTCAAATATACATTTCCATGAGCTTTTGAAGATCCCTGTGTGCATGTGGGTGTGTGTAAGTGTATGTCTGATAATTAGATTCTTGCCTTAGAATTTTCTCATGAGGTAACTAAGTTCACAGTTAGCCTAACTCCACTTACCAAGTTTGTCCCCTACCACGGTCACTTCTGTGGCCTCTGAGGGCTCACCGACTCCTGCTGAATTAGAACAGCGCACGCGGAAGCAGTAGGATTTCCCCTCGGCCAGATCGAACAGAGCAAAGCGGGGAGACTTCACGGGCAGCTCCGTGTTCACCCGCTGCCAGTTTTCCGTTCCTGCTTCACACTGCGGCAGAACAGAGACACCCACTGAGACAGGGGAACACGAAGCCAGGCGTCCATGTTTTATTTCTCTGCCAACACACTGCTGCCTTTATGCAACTGGACTGGATAAGAGATTTGGAGAAATACCAAAGGAGGTTTCTGAAGTCCACAGAACTTCTAACTCAAATACGGTTTTGTACTGTTTGACAAATACACTACTTTAATACTTCATTTTTGTTATTAACTAAATATGATCATCAATCTACTTAAGTCATTTATTTTGAGTATAGTTTGGGCTGTCTTTCTGATTCTTAGGGCAGGTAATTAAATTTAATATGCTATGTTTAATACTTTCATTTTTGTTGAATTGTTATAAAATGTTTTATTTAATTCTTTAAACTTGAGAGGCAAAGAGACAGACACAGACAGAGAAAGAGTTCCCCACTGCTGATTCACTCTCTAAATGCTCAAAATGGTCCTGGGTCTGGGGTTGATGGTGGGAAGGAAAAATTCAGTCCAGATCTGTCATGTGGGTGGCAGGGACCCAGGTCCTTGAGCCATCCCCTACTGCTTCCCAGGGTGTGCATTAACAGGAAGCTGGAATCACGATCTGGAGCCAGAACTCAAACACAGGCACTCCTCTATGGGATGTGGACGTTTTAACAGTGCTTTAAGCACTGGGGCAAATGCCTGCCCCAAACTGTATTATTTTAATTGGGTGCTATTTAATGATGCAAGATCATTCAGTTCTGTGCTCAAATACCACCTGCTCAGAAAGGTTTTCTCGATCTCCTCTTCCTCATAGCCAGTTTAAAGGAGTGCTTTGCTCTTATCCTTGTCTATCCCTTACCCTGCCTTGTTTTTCAGAACACTTATCATCCTTTGGATTGAAATAATTTATTTCTTGTTTCCTCTACTGGAAAGAAAATTCTGAGTTCAGGGAGCTGTCCTGTTCACTGCTAGAGCCCAGAATTGTATCTGGCACATAGTAATCAACTCATTTTTTCACTGAATGAATGAAGTTAGTGAAAGACAAAGAATACGTTCTTTGGGGTTGGACATTAGCGGTGAAGGTGCCTGCGTCCTTCACTGGAGTGCTGGATTCCATAGCAGGCTCCAGCTCCTGCCTCCAGCTTCCTGCTCCTGTACACCCTGGAGGGCAATGTGATGGCTTAAATTATTGGGTTCCTGCCACCCACATGAGAGACCCTAATTGAGTTCCCAGCTTCAGCTTGACTCAGTTCTCACTGTTGTGGGTATTTGGTGAATAAACCAGTAGATTGAAACCCTCTCTGGGGCTGGCGCCGTGGCGCACTAGGTTAATCCTCCGCCTGCGGTGCTGGCATCCCATATGGGCACCGGTTCTAGTTCTGGCTGCTCCTCTTCCAGTCCAGCTCTCTGCTGTGGCCTCGGAAAGCAGTGCAGGATGGCCTGAGTGCTTGGGCCCCTGCACCCGCATGGGAGACTGGGCGGAGGCACCTGGCTCCTGGCTTCGGATCTGCACAGCTCCAGCCGTTGCGGCCATTTGGGGAGTGAACCAATGGAAGGAAGACCTTTCTCTCTCTCTCTCTCTCTCTCTCTCTCTCTCTCTCTCTGCCTGTAACTCTGCCTGTCAAATAAATAAAAAATAAAATCTTTAAAAAAAAAAAGAAACCCTCCTTTCTTTCAAATACATTTAAAATTTTTTTTAAAATTTCTTTTCTTTCTGTTCAAATTGTAAAGTAAACAATGAGAAAGCTAATTAAATAGATACTGTCCTTGGGGTTAGCGGTGTAGTGTAGCGGGTAAAGCCGCCACCTGCAGTGCCAGAATCCCATTTGGGCACTAGTTCAAATCCCGGCTGCTTCACTTCCAATCCAGCTCTCTGCAGCCTGGGAAAGCAGTAGAAGATGGCCCAAGTCCTCGGGCCCCTGCACCCATGTGGGAGACCCAGAAGAAGCTCCTGGTTCCTGGCTTCTGATCAGTGCAGCTCTGGCGGTTGCAGCCATCTGGTGAGTGAACCAGAGGATGGAAGACCTCTCTCTCTCTGCCTCTGCCTCTCTGTAACTCTGCCTTTCAAGTAAATAAATAAATCTCTGAGTGAGGGAGAGAGGGAGAGAGAAAGAGAGAGAGAGATTCTGTTCTTATAATCAAAATGATCTCGAGTGACTTGGAAAATCTTGAATGAAGGATGCGGTTATAGCTGAACTTTGGTAAGGGATTTAGTAAGAACATTGTCAGAAGCATATTCTTCAGAATAACAAGAATAATCCTTTCTCATTCTTCTTCTAAGTTCCAACTCTGCCCAGGGTCAGCAGAAGCAGAAATTCAGATTCTTGCGATTTTGTTACAGAACTTTTTAACAGTTTCCAAAACTTTTTCCAGAAATCCAAATTATTGACAGATTGATTGGCTGTCAAGGATGATACATTTTTGGAAACATAAATTTAGTAGTACACCACTCAGCATGGTCTTCACTGTCTTCACTGCCTTGACATGGAAAGTGACATGGCACACGGAAGGCCCCAAAGTTACTGGATCTGATCCCAACAATGTTCATAATGAGCTACGTGACCTGTGAAGTCCCATGACTGCTTTTGGCTTCAGTTCATCATCTGTAAAATGGGCATATCTGACAAGGGAAACTCTAAACCAATGTGCAGTCTTTTATGATAATGTGTCATTTGTATGGGGGAAGGGGTAATGTGCTGCCCAGAGAGAGATAAAATTCTCCCAGACCTTTAATCCTGTAGTGTATGGCTTTGATTCATTTTTACATATTCCCTCCTGGGGAATTCTTAAACAATTATCAGTCATTTAAACTTTTAATAATGAAAACAATAGCCTCCTTTCACTGTGCCAAGCCATTATGATTCTTTGATTTTCTCAACTATGCTATGAAGTAGGTATTGTGTGATTATCAGTTTTCCACAGATGACTTAGGCTTGTGAAGACAGAAAGGCAGCTTGGTGTAATGGCCAGTCTGGCTGGGTTCAACTCCTACTTCTGCCTCATACCAGCTATGTACCACTGGGCAAATTATACACCCCGTCAATGCCTCAATCTTCTCATCTATTAAACAGGCACGTTGAGAATAAAAGTTTCATAGGATTGCTGCAAGAACAAAGTGGCTAACAAAACAGTAGCTAATGGGGCTGGCAATGTGGTGCAATGGGGTTAGCGCCCTAGCCTGAGGCGCTGGCATCCCATATGGGCACCGGTCCAAGACCTGGCTGCTCCTCTTCTGATCCAGCTCTCTGCTGTGGCCTGGGAAAACAGTAGAAGATGGCCCAAGTCCTTGGGCACCTGCATCCGTGTGGGAGACCCAGAGGAAGCTCCTGGTTCCTGGCTTCGGATGAGCACAGCTCGGGCCATTGCGGCCAATTGGGGAGTGAACCTGCGGATGGAAGACCTCTCTCTCTTCCTCTCTGCCTCTCCTCTCTCTGTGTAACTCTGACTTTCAAATAAATAAATAAATAAATAAACAAAACAGTAGCTATTTTCATTCTTGCTGATAGAAATTCAACTGCCAAGTGACAAAGTGCTCCTCTGTGACATGAGAAAGAGCACAAGATAGGGAGAGGTTTAGCGCTGAGAAGACACAGTGGAACAAGAAATCTAGGAGTGTTGGAGACTAGTTCATCAGATTCCCTGGATAATAAACTCCTATATATCAACCATTTCTAGGCTCATGGACAGAGCACAACCAGTTGAAAGCCTGCAATTATAACAGGAAATTGCATGCTTTATATGCCTGCAAATCTCAGGTACAAAGTTCTATGTAGAAGTGTGAGCAGCACAGGAGTAACCCATGAGGCAGCTTTCCCAGTGCATGAACATTCTTGGGATGGAAATATGCCATAGGATATGAGTGAGCCATTTCCCTTTAGAAGGTCAACCTATCAGAAGTGACTCATCAGGAATAATCTCAGACTTAGCCTGGAAGAGTGTGACATTTGGATAGTTACGTAAAAATTGTGCGCCAGGTCTCTCGACATGTTCTGCATCCCCAATACTTCAGCATCCGGTGTGCTCAGTAAGTGTGGACTGTGCAACGTACAGCTTCTCTACTCGATGTTGTGCTCATAAACATCCCCTTCTAGTCCATTCAAATAGGTGTGCAGATGGGAGAGTATTTAAATTTCAACCAGAGATTTAGATGTATTTGGGTCTAGGGAACTTACAGATTTCTGTGGCAAAATAAGAGTTTGACTAGAGAAAATGTTCCACCAAAGCCAACGTTGGCTTAAGCTAAGAAAATGTTTCCAAAACAGGTTGTTATGTGTCATTATAATAGGAAAGATGGTAATTACTGTCACAGGGGCTATTCAGAACTCTCCCCGTGGAGCATTTCAAAGAGATTCAGTGGGGGTTTGTATTAAACACATCAGAAAAGGAACATCTATCTATCACTTTATTCTTGCCCTCTATTAAAAGAAAAAGCTTAGAATGCTACTCAAGTTACAATTAACCGAGGCAAATACCTAGACAAAATAAAAATATAAACTTTTAATAGTATTTTTATTAAACCATACTCTCTAGGAAGATGTACATACTGCATGTGGAAGAGATGATACGTTTATTGTTACCAGTGTGCTAGGGATAAGCAGGAAGTGTGGAGGCATGGAGTTCAAAGACATGAACTAAACCTGCATATTAAAAGCAAATAATAGGGGAAATCACAGACCCTAGCATGTTTAGCTCCAGTATAATTTTCTCAAGAGCCATGGGTTTGAAGTAATTACAAGGCCATAAGGAATAGAGATAGAGAGGTTTTTAGGGAATTAATTAAATTCCTTATATTTTCACAAAAAAACTTTCTATAATTTTATTATGAAAGTAATGCTATCATTTACTTTTATAAAACTTTGAAGTACAAGCATTTGAACAGTTGTTTCTTTATTCTGAAAAAAAAGCAAATAACTACCAATAAAAGTGCTAATGTTCTTATATAGCATACTTACTTTGCTTCATTTTCTTAATTATAACCTAATAAAAACTTCAACAAATAGATTTTTAACTTGATTTTAAATTCTCTTTAAATATCCTTTTCCAGTGGCCCTGACCCTATTTACCAAGGACTTCTTGTTCTCCTTAGGCCTGTGCCTTGCCTTGCAGGTGCTCCTGTGTTTCTGCTCGGGCAGCTGGGTCAACTCGCCTGAATGTCCTGGCCAGGTCTTGATTCACGTCCAGGAGTTGGGCATGCATGCCCCTCAGGACTTCCTTCAACTATAGGTGTGATTGATTCACATCATTTTCATTCTTCCCATGCATCCTAGGTCTTCATTATATGCTCTACTCTCCAATGTTCTAATCCCCAACATAATTGTAAGATATCTGGGGAAAGAACCAGCTAATATCTTACATCATTTTCTCATTCCCTGATCCCACTATACCACCTGTACTTAAAGTGGAACTAACCATGTGAGAGCTTGTTGTCTTCAACTCTTCAAGCCATTTGAAAGTATCCTAAGTTCTCCAGCTCTCTCTCCCACCTATTCTCATCAGTGTTCATTTTCTACTATAGAAAAACAAGTGGCAGAAAGATGAAAAGCCATGACCAGAGCAAGGAGACACAGCAAGTCTGTAGAATACACTGTCTTATAGGCAATCTACAGTTTCAGACGCCATCCCATACTTATAGGGGTTCTGATTCTGCATCTTTGGATCTCTCAGGCAGCTGTGGGTTAGTTTTTGGGGATCCATAGACCTCCCTGAACTTTCAGGCAAAGTGCTGTGTGATACATATTTTTCTTGTAGAAAGATTTCATAGTTGACAAGGTTTTAAAGGGGTCAGGGCCTTCCCACCCTCCTCCTTCAGGACACCCCCACACTCCTCCCTCACTCCACTTTCCCCAAAAATTTAATCCCTATTTCTTTAAGGAAATCTTTAGAAAGTATTATGATAATGTTGATTCTGGCGTCTTACCTTTTCCACGAAATACATAATGCCCTCATGGCCACGCTGGCCAGGGGGCTTCCAGCTTAGCACCACATAGCTCCTCGTGGCCTCTGTGACAGAGAGCTCTGTGGGGGGGCCAGGAACAATGCCCTCTGAAAAACAATAAGGAGAAGTGAGAGGCACAAATTCTAGGTATCCCAGGATACTCAGAGGGCTATAAGATGCTTCTCTCCCCAACAAGGAAGAGCTAATTATGGCTTCTCATATAAAGAAGTTCCTTGTCTCTAAAATTTCATTCATTCATTATTGGATTCATTATTCAAATGCCATTGAGCATTTAGTGCACAGAGTTAAAGAATCTGGAAACTGTTCCTGTCTTGGAAGAGCTTACAAATGAGTTGGTGAAAAGAGCAGTTGAACAGCACAGGCCGGGGTGTGCTCATGTGCTAAAGGACAAAAAGAACAGACTGTAGTCAAGAGAGTGTTAGATGGTGGTGGGTCTACCGTGTCAAGGTCTACCAGATGTGGTGAAATAAGGTTGGTCTACCTGGCTCTACATCATGGTTTATTCCAGTCTTAGTAGGAAAACATTAGGTACTCCAAAAAATATTGTGGAAAAGGTGGAATTAAAGATAAGTTTAATGTCAGCACCAGCTGAGGGGCAAGATACAGACACTGATTTTGAAACCCTCCCTGGGCCAGCGCCATGGCTCACTAGGCTAATCCTCCGCCTTGCAGTGCCGGCACACCAGGTTCTAGTCCCGGTCGGGGCGCCGGATTCTGTCCCGGTTGCCCCTCTTCCAGGCCAGCTCTCTGCTGTGGCCCGGGAGTGCAGTGGAGGATGGCCCAAGTGCTTGGGTCCTGCACCCGCATGGGAGACCAGGAGAAGCACCTGGCTCCTGCCTTCGGATCAGCGCGGTGCGCCAGCTGCAGCGCGCTGGCCGCAGTGGCCATTGGAGGGTGAACCAATGGCAAAAGGAAGACCTTTCTCTCTGTCTCTCTCTCTCTCACTGTCCACTCTGCTTGTCAAAAATAAAAAAAATAAATAAATAAAAATAAAAAAAAGAAACCCTCCCTGTATATTGTCAAAGCCATTCTGATTCTGAACAATGATGGTGATCCGCTTTTTGCCAAATACTATGAGGGCATCTAGCCCAGTGTCAAGGAGCAAAGGGACTTTGGGAAGCACATTTTCAACAAGGTCCATCTGACTGACAGTGGAACTGCCGACAGCAGCACTGCTCTGCAGTTTTACTGACTGGCAGCTCCTGGGAAAATGAGCTGATGCTTATGGGTGTTCCGAATGGCCTGTTCCACTCATGAGCCAGATGCATAGGAGAAGTGTAGAAAAGTGAGCTGTCGAGTTCACCGAGGGGCTTCTCTTGCCTGCAGATGGCACTGCAGAGGGAGGGGTTGCCTGGAGAGTGGTCCCAGCAAGTGGCAGACTGGGTGGCATCAAGGAGTGAAGATGTTGCTGTTACGGAGCAGACCATGGCTCAGACGCTGGGCAACCAGAGAACAGATCAAGGGCCACTTACTCTGTGAAGACCCAGTGTTTCTGGTTCTTTACTCCTCACAAAGCTGCATGTCTGCTGGACTTCTCACCCAGTCTGCCAAGTGATGCTCGCAGGTCATCTCAGGGGTCACAAGGGATCCTTAAATCTCCACCTCGTCTGTAATGGTCTCCCCGAACCCTCCCTAAACACTTCCGGCTCTTTCTGCCTGTTTTTGCAGCTCTGAGAGTAAAGCTCTCGGCAAATTGGATGCAAGGCAAGAGAAGTTCTCTCCTTTCCAGGCTGGATTACAGTCCCGTGCTCCAACCCTTTGCTTTCTTCCTCAGCTTCAGGGCCCTTTGCTGTGGCTACACTGCAGATCAAAGCAGGAGGGAGAATACGGTGAGCATTCTCCCTCCCTTTGCCTCGATGCTGCCCTCATCTCAACATAGACTGTGTTCTATAGAATGAGTGAAGGTGGAGGTGAGTAGGGATGAATCTAAATTCAGCTGCTGCCGAGCTCCCTGGCCTTGGCATTTCCCCCACTTCTTCTTACTGTCTGGTCCTCTGCCTTGGATGAGAGATTGGCAGTGGACACAGTAGAAGAAACAGTGATTTAAATTTTATTGGAGAAAGCTTATAAAACTTATTCTTGGGGGCCGGCGCTGTGATGTAGTGAGCCAAGCCTCCACCTGCAACACGGGCATCCCAAATGGGTGCCAGTTAGTATCCCAGCTGCTCCTCTTCTGATCCAGCTCTCTGCTATGGCCTGGGAAAGCAGTAGAAGGTGGCCCAAGTGCTAGGGGCCCTGCAGCCCCATGGGAGACCCAGAAGAAGGTCCTGGCTCCTGGCTTCAGATAGGTCAACACCAGCCATTGCAACCTTTTGGGGAGTGAATCAGTGGATGGAAGACGCTCTATCTCTCCCTCTCTCTGTAACTCTGCCTCTCAAATAAATAAATAGTAAAATTAAAAAAAAAAAACTCATTCTCAACCCTGATCCTGGCATGTAGCCTCAAAACTGCTGTGGTCTGTGATGCTCATCATGAGAGGGTTCACCCCTTGGGCAGGCACCTTATGCTTCACCACTACTGCCTATGGTGTCTTTGCTGGATTTGTCCCCTCCTATACCCTAGAGCCAAGCCAGTTCCTGGAAGTAAAACTCCATTCTAGTCATTGGAAAAAGAACTGGGGAAGGACTGAAATGTATGACTTAGGCCTTCAGGTTCTCTCAGTCCCCTGAGCTTCCCCACAAGCATTTACTCCTTGGCCTCAGGACTGCCATGTGCTGTTGAGCCCTCCTCTCTCTCTGCCTTGGTCTTATACCCAAACAGTAGGTCTGGGCTCTTCCCCTCCCGCAGTCATCGACAGAGGTGCCTTTCCTTTGGGAATGGATTTCCCCAGGAGGTGGAGGTTGGAACAATGCTCACTGTTGAGTCTAATCCTTCTCAACCAAAAACTTCCTCTCCACAAAAAAAATCTTAAAAAAAACAACAAAACACAGGCCGGCACAGCGGCTCAATAGGCTAATCATCCGCCTGCGGCACCGGCACACTGGATTCTAGTCCCGGTAGGGGCACCGGATTCTGTCCCGGTTGCCCCTCTTCCAGGCCAGCTCTCTGCTGTGGCCCGGGAGTGCAGTGGAGGATGGCCCAAGTGCTTGGGCCCTGCACCCCATGGGAGACCAGGAGAAGCACCTGGCTCCTGCCTTCGGATCAGCACGGTGCGCTGGCCGCAGCACGCCAGCTGTGGCGGCCATTGGAGGGTGAACCAATGGCAAAGGAAGACCTTTCTGTCTGTCTCTCTCATTCTCTAACTCTGCCTGTCACAAAAACAAAAACAAACAAACAAACAAAAAAAAACCAACAACAACAAAACAGAACAAAAAACCTTCCTGAGACTTAAGAATCTTGCCCTACCCACTAACAGCCAGTTCTCCATCACTGAAATGGAGCAAATTACTGGTCATCTTTGTATAAGAGGTCCATGCAGGCAGGAGATGGCCACCTTCAGGTACTGTGCAAAGGGGAAATAAAACACTTTTTTTTCCCCAAAGAAGAAAAAAGGTAAATTTACTTTGTTGCTAAAAATTTTTGAAATCTCAGCATAGCTTTTTCATAATGTATTTTCCACGAACTTTTGGAGATCCTGTGCCCAAGAAGCTTCCTAGGGGCTGGCACTGTGGTGTAGTCGGCAAAGCTGTCACCTGCAAAGCCAGCATCCCATATGGGTGCTGGTTTGAGCCCCGGCTGCTCCACTTCCGATCCAGCTCTCTGCTATGGCCTGGGAAAGCAGTAGAAGATGGCCCAAGTCCCTGGGCCCCTGCACCTGCATGGGAGACTAGAAGAAGCTTCTGGCTCCTAGCTTTGGATCGGCACAGCTCCTGCTGTTGCAGCCCATGGGGTGCAGGGCCCAAGCACTTGGGCCATCCTCCACTGCCTTCCCGGGCCACAGCAGAGAGCTGGCCTGGAAGAGGGGCAACTGGGAAAGAATCCGGCGCCCCAACCGGGACTAGAACCCGGTGTGCTGGCGCCGCTAGGTGGAGGATTAGCCTATTGAGCCGCGGCGCCGGCCCAGAAGATTTATTTTTATATCCAGTTAGGGTTGCTAGGTAAATTAGAGTATGTCCTGTATTTTTACTTGCAAAATCTTTGCCACAAATTTGTTTAATAGAGTCGCTGTCTCAGCATCCATTTTTAAGCTGACATAATTTGTCTGATGCCCAGCTGTACCCAGTCACCGTTGGCCTAGTTAAGACTTCCCTTTGCTGTGGGGTTGTTTTCCATCTAGCTTGCTTGTTCCTTATTCCACTGACTCAAAACTTAGCACATCCTACAGGCGCTAATCATAATGAAGTCTGATGGCCAATACCTTAGTCATGTGTTTTTGTTAAACTATTTTAAACTCCCATGAGAAAGCCTAAGCATACCATCCATGGACTTCAGAAGACTTACTTAGTCTCACAGGTCTTTCTCTCTCTCTCTCTCTCACTGTCCACTCTGCCTCACAAAATCCATCTATTTAAAGAGTACTTTGGGGGCCGGTGCTGTGGCGTAGCAGGTAAAGCCGCTGCCTGCAGTGCTGGCATCCCATATGAACACCAGTTCAAGTTCGAGTCCCGGCTGCTCCACTTCTGATCCAGCTCTCCACTATGGCCTGGGAAAGCAGTACAAGATGGCCCAAGTCCTTGGGCCCCTGCATCTGCGTGGGAGACCCAGAAGAAGCTCCTGGCTCCTGGCTTTGGATCGGCACAGCTCTGGCTGTTGCAGCCAACTGGGGAGTAAACCAGCGGATGGAAGACCTCTCTCTCTCTGCCTCTCCTTCGCTTTCTGTGTATCTCTTTCAAGTAAATGAATAAATCTTAAAAAAAGAGAACTCTTCAAGCTATATATATATATATATATCTAAAAAAGAGTATTTTGAGAAATACAAAAATATCCAGCATCAAACAATGTAAACTCAAAGTGCTGGACACCTAATAACAATTACATGTTTGTGAAGAAGAAATAAAATCATATCAAGGAGAAAAGTTAATCAAGATAAACGAAACCAGAAATGATACAGATGATAGAATTAGTGTCACCTGCGATTTACAGAATTACTAGACAAGAACAATTATTACATATGTATTCTAAATGTTCAAGTGGATAAAGATTAAAT